TTATGGAACACATCAGATAATTCCATACCAAACGGATGACTATGCACATGCATGGATTTAGCTAATTAGAATTTATTTTTGCAATTACATAAGCATACTTTTCACATAATTGTTCCCTGAGGGAAAAATGTGATTAATTATTGCTAATTGACCAAGAAATTACTTCAAGCGTATCTTAAGTACCTCGTGTTGTTTTCCTATTAATAAGCTTTAATGGAACGCAGTCGATTTCCACCATTGAACAAATCAAAGATTCATCGGGTATTAACATTTCAAATCTACCTACCGAGTGCTGAATCGCTGTTTCATTAATCCGTAGATCTTGTGGTGTGATTTAATTATTCTATCGGTAAATCAAACTTCAAATAAATCGAAAGAGATAGACTTTCGAGGCCATTCCTTCAAACTAACGGGTTTTTCGGGTTTTTAGGTCGTTCGGTAGAATTTCTTCCTGACGTTTCGCAAGCACGAGTGGCTTGCATCTTCAGAAGTGGTTTGCTTGAACGCTTACACTGTTCTCATCAGAACCCGATCAGTTCTGCGGAAGAACTGAACGCGAGTGGCTTGCATCTTCAGAAGTGGTTTGCTTGAACGCTTACACTGCTGTGAGCAGTGAAAACCCGAAAAACCCATTAGCTTAAAATAAATCGGTTTATAGAAAGGACAAGAGTTCAAACGTCTTTCGGTACCATTGGCGATTATGGTCGATACCAGGCGCAACATACGCGTTACAAATGCATGGCAAGACATGATTGCGGCACGAAAACCAGCTTTTATTCGAAAAAATGTCTCTTCAATCCGGTTATTTCCAGTTAAGGTTTCAGATTTATTGACCTGCTGCCGAAGAATGACGGCATTAACATTGTTTGTTTTGAGAGTGGAACTTAGTCGTTTAGTCGTATCGAAAATAGAAAGTTGCACATGGCTAATGGCGCTGATGCCTCATCGCTCGTGGTTAACGTTGGTCGATGGTTCAGCGGTATTTACCTCACCTTATTCCAATTTCTTTGGTATTTACTTGATGAGCATGGAAACGGAGCCACAAAACCTGCCTTTTATTTCATTTAAATTTTTTTGCATTCCTGCTAACCAAAATTCGAATTTTCGCTGTAATAAACATGGATTCATCTTATCAGTGCTTAATAAAATATTCCCGTTGTTATTATTTTGACATTTAAAAATTATGTCCACTATGAAAATATTTTGAAATGTTTATAAGGGGATTTTTGCCGTATTATCTTCATAGCTAATTAACCATTATCTAACAGATAACTGTAATAAACGACGAACAAACAAACAACGGCTTATTGGTACTTTTGATGTTCATACAACTTCAATCGCGGAACGAAACTACATAGACGAACTGAATTGGTCCATTTGTGGACAAAATGTTTCTGTAATCAACCAAGGGCGGACCCAGGGGGGGGATCATGGGGGTCATGACTCCCCATTCAATTCTCTATCCAACGATGCCAAAACGAATTCTGTGGCTCGAATGGTTCTTGAGAAACTTCGAAAAAAGCAGCGTCATGTTCAA